CGGGTAAAAGTTCCCCATGGGTGCACCCCCCCTTCCTGCCGCTCGGCTTTCCATGCCACCTGTGTGGGTGGCTGCAAAGTGTTGTTCGGGGCATGCTGCTCCTGAGGCTGGGGAGGGCTCAGCTCGGAGCCTGCAGCAGGCAGAAGGTTGGAGGATGAGTTGCTGTTGAAAGATCTGGGATCGAGGTTGCGTGGACTCTGCCCCTCCTCCAATGATTGACCGAGGCTGCCCGACAGTGAGGGGCCTGCAGGCTCTGGGCTGAGCCCGTCCAGAGCAGCATCCTCCTGCACGTCAGGTGTTACCTGGTTTGGGAGCTCACGGATTTGTCGCGACAGCACTGCAAGAGAGGTAGAGACAGGCCTGTCATTCCCAGGCTCTCGTCATCCTGCTCTGAGCACAGGCCACCGCAGAGCCCACCAGAGGAGAACAAACTGTTCAGCTAGGGCTGCCTCCTCCTGGGGGAGGCAAGGAGAGGACACTGCACAGAAGCCAGACACAAACACAGCTTGTGCTCCAAGAGGGACTGGATCCCTCCAGTTCTGGTGCTGCCCCTGGCCCAGGGCCTGGCCCCAAGGCAGGCCTCTGTGACAGGGCTGAGAAAAGAGTCCAGAGCTGGGACGAGACAGGAAAACCAAACCTAGTGGTCATGCCAGGCAAGGGGATGCTGGGCTGGAGGTGCCCCAGAATTCAGGCTGTCTCTGAGGAAGGTGCTTTGCCCTGGAGGGCAGCAGTTCACCTGGAGCCACACCTCAGCTCCCCTGGCACTCACCTCTGAGCCCCCACTGTGGCTCTCTGCTCACAAATGAGCAGATGCTGGAGGAGAAAATGAGGCAGAAGGACAGAATAATGGCCTGGAAACAGAAAGAAGCAAAGACCTCAGAGAAGGCATCACCAGCTGCAATACATGCCTCTCTCCCAAACTTGTAAGTACAGCAGAGGCACCTTCACAGATACTGGGGCTGAAGCCACTTACCACAATGAAGGTTTTTGCTCGAACAGTTTTGTTGGTGGACAAGGACTGCAGTGCCTGCAGCTGCTTGAGCAGTGACCTGCACGACAGCAGGCAATGCAGGTTAATTCAGAGGCTGAACAAAGAGCTGGACACTCCCCCCCTCCCCCTTCGCAGCCAGGAACAGATCACAATCCCAGGAAGAGGAACAGCCTTCCCTGCCGCATCTCCTGCCACGTCCAATAACAAGAACTCACATGTTCTCCTTCTGCAGCAGCTGCACCTCCTTCTCCAGGTCGTTGTTCTGAGCTGGGCGGGCTGCCACCCTGCCCCTGGCAATGGGAAAAAGAGGAAGGTTTTGTTAGTCAACAGCAGGGACTTCAGCAGAGTCTCTCCTCAGGTAACCAGCCACCTGCTCCAGAGAGTGACACCTCACACCAGGTTTGGGGACAGGTGAGCCCTGCCCAGTCCCACAGACTAATCCCTAAGGTTGCTTGCTCCTAGCTGCACACCAGCCCGGCACATCTGCAACATCAGGCTGTACTGCAAACTAGTGCAACCTGGAGAACACAGCGGACCTGGCAGGCCAGTACCTGGCTTGAACAGTGCAAGATCTGGGCCATCTCCAGGTGTAAGAGAGCTGAGCTGGCTATGCCCCAAGCTTCTGAGTTTCCTGAGGGGAGCTGCTGACCCACAGGGACAGCCTCACTTTCTGCCCAGGGTGGCAAGGCCCAGCTGGGTACCCCAGCTGCCGGTACCCCCTGCTCCCAACCCCTACCAATGTGCTTAGCACAACTAACACCATTTTATGAGGCAAGCATCCATTCCCTATGACAGGGCGGGTCACATTCATTGCCTTGCCTTCGTTATCAGGCCTTGACGGGCCTGTGCACCAAGTAGACAAACCAAACAGATCTCTCTTTCTCCTCACTACCAGCCTCAAGGTCCCTGGGCGCCCGGCTGGTTACTGCCTTCCTTACCAGCCTTGAAGGTCCCAGGCACCCGGCCAGCCTGGTGTTGTTGACCACCCCTCTCACAGAGCAGGGAAGTGTAACAGCGCACGGAACGCTGTCCATAACATCAAGCAGTTACCAAGTCCTACGGGGGAACTTGGACTAGAGCTGCTTGGACTGCTGATGGACAGTGAGATCCTGGACCCTCTTTGGCCCCACCATCGTCTGCTTCCTCCCAGGACTGAAGGAATGACTCATATTCATAGAATCATAGAATAGTTTGGGTTGGAAGGGACCTTTAAAGGTCATCTAGTCCAACCCCCCTGCAAATGACAGCTTCAGCTAGACCAGGTTGCTCAGAGCCCCATCCAACCTGACCTGGAACGTTGCCAGGGATGGAAATTTATGTAATTTTCAAGTCTAGATTATGGTCATTATTTTGAGGCAGCATACTAGGTATTAACATCAGACCCAATCTACTGAGGGTCCAGATGATTAGAAATTAAGTTGTATTACAAATTCTGTGTTATGTTGCTTATAGATTGTACTACATGGATTCAGTTTGCAGAAATCCTGTACCATTCTAATGGTACAGCGCCTTAGTGCTGTCATTATTCTGGCAAGGATCCCTAAAGGAACCCATCTGTCCCTTAAGTGTTGGGTGACACTGCTGGGTGCCCGTACCTGTTTTCCAGGCCACCCATGTAGATCTTATTCCCGTGATGATTATCCTGGGCTAAAACCTTGCGCCGAAAACTTCCGATCCACTTTCTTCAGAACCCGATCTTCATTCTGCAAGCATCATTTCTCATTAGCAGCAACACCAGGCTGTTAGCAATCTATCCCTCACGAACCCTGCATACATCTCAGTGCTCAGCCCATGTGCTTTTGTCCTCTGTCCCTCCCACACCACTGAATAAACTGCAGGAGCTGCAAGGCAAAGTCTGGCCTCCTGATGCAGCCAGCAGCTTCCCCAGTGTAGCAAAAGTGAGGCATACTTAAGTGAGATGAAAAACACGCAGCTCACAAGCCACTAGGCGAGCGGGAAAAAACAGGTTGGAGGTACTTGTGGTGTAACTGCCTCCTGCAAGCAGTCAGGTCTCATTGCTCTTCATATCTACCTGATTAGCAAAGCAGAGACTGCTGTGCACGTGGACACCTCCCAGGCCTCGAAAGGAGGAGAAGGACACCAAGCTCTGCCGCAAGCTGCCCTGATACACCATCCCTGTATTTTTGAATCCCTACCCTGGCTGACACATTTGAGTGGCCCAAGTTCATTTGGGAGTGAGAGGCTATAGCAAGGACTCACTTCAGTCAGCAGCACAGAGGTTGATAATGGAAAACCTTCTTTCTCCAGGAACTGCATCTCCTCCTCTGTCAGGAACAGCTCTGGCAAGTCGGACTAGAAAACAGACAAAAGATGCCCACTGAGAATGCAAAGTAAAGGGAGTCCACCCTAGGGCAGAGAGGACATGCAGAAAGCACACAGAAGTGGGATCAGCTCTCCCAAAACAGCACCATGCTTTCCGCAGAGATATCCCCCACAGGAGCTGAGCCAGGAGAGGAGGGGAGATGAAACCAGAAGCAAAGGCTGGGGCCCACACATGGCAGTCAGTACCTGTGTGTTGGCTCCAGGCACAAGATGGGGTCCAGCATCCACAGCAATGGGCAAACTGCATCTCTGTTCCAGTTCCTTGCTCCTTCCTTCCAAACCTGTCCGTGTCACTGGGGAAGGAAAGGAGAGTCAAGTGCTGGGCCTCAGTGAGGTAGCACCTGACCAGCCAGCTTTGAGTAGCATGAAATCACAGTTTTAGAGCAGCAGAAAGCCACTAAACTCATCTCTCTCCATCGCTGCCTGGCACCCACCTGAAAGAAAAACAGTGTGGGACTGCTTTTCTGCCTGTACCAGGACAGAAAGAGACCAAGCACATCACTTACCAAGGTCAATGGCAATGTCTCCTTCTTCTATGTCGGACCTCACACTTCTCAGCGCAGGACAATTCTGATGGACGGAATAGTTGTGATCAACCTGCACAACGTCTGAGCTCCATAGGCTGCTGGCAAAGTTAGTGCCAGGGCTATAGGCCTGATGCTGAACCTCAGAAACGCTGCTGTCACTCCCAGCAGGTAAATAACCCTGCGGCATGTCTGATTTGCCTTCAAAGGGCCTCAGAATGGAGCTGATGAAGTCATCCACCTCCTTGTCCAGGAGCTGTAGAGAAAAAGCTTTTACTCAGCAGGGAGCCAAACCTCCTGAACCACAACCCAGCAGCGACTCCTCCCAACACACTCACCTCAGCCTCTGGCAGGCTCCAGTCTTCCAGCAGACCATTCTCATCCTGTGGGATTTCAGGGCAGGGAACATCATCCTTCAGGAGGAAGTCAAGCAGGTCCTCATCTGACAAGGCAGGCAGCTCCTCTGGCCACAACATCTGAGCAGGACACCCAAAGTGAGCACAGTCACCGGGGGAAACACCAGCATTTGTTCAAGAGGTCCCTCAGCCCCTACAGACAAAGCCTCCCCATGCAATGGCAACAGCTGCCAGGGCTCTGCAGCAACAACCAGCCCATGAGTGCTTCCCCAATAAGACTATTACAGCCATACTGGTAGCCCTACCACACCAGTCTCCCCACCAGACTACTGGGACACAGCCACAGAAGCCATGCTGTACCCAGAACACAAAAGCTGCAGGAGAGAGAGGGAAAGTGGAAGGACCACAGACTTTCTGCCATGGAAAGCATGCAAGATCCTGCCATTCCACTGAAGCCCAAAGGTGCTGTACCCCTGGCGAGCAGCCAGCAGTGCTGGCCTCCTTTTGCAAGCCAATTATTAAAAGAAGTCATCGTTGTGGGGTTAAATAAAAGGGTTTTATTAATGATTAAATTATGATCAAATGGTAATTAATTGACAATTGAATGAAAATGAAACCGTAATCAAATGGTGGTTAAGTGATAATTGAACAGGTAACTGAACAGAAAACAGATAATTGAACAGTGATTTGAAAATTATTTAAGTGCTGATTTAAACAATAATTCAGGCAGCAGTCAAACACTCTACTTCTCACCACACTTCTAATAATTAAGCTATAGCTGGAGAGATGTATATATACATATATAGCTATAGATACAGCTATATATTAAAAAAAATGTTGCTAGCTTACAACATATTTTAGGTTGAGTGTAAAATGCTACTTACATCGCAGCAGATGTCAGATGCCGGATAAAGGGTCTCTCAGTCTCGAGGAGCAACCTTGAGAGGTATCCCTGCTCACAGGGGGAGATCTCTGTGCAGCCCACTGCTGTAGAGGGGAGCTGGATGGGCTCGGGATGGCGACAGGTATTTATAGTGTAAAGTGATGGACTCATAGTCAAACCCCTCCTCTGCGCAGTTGTGCAGCTGTGGCAGTTCTAGTTTTGTCTAGTCCCAGCTCGGGCTGGTGCTGTTATCTCCCGATAAGTCACAGCCTGGAGTCCTTGGTCCCTGAGAAGATGTGGCCTCGCACGGTTCTCACAGTTTGCACGGCAGGGCTGGCACTGGGCAGGCCTGCTCGTCGGTGATGCCCGAACCACAGTGCTGGTCACTCAGACGGAGCGGGGCATCTGTCACAACCCCCCATGAGCACTGTTAAGTTTTCACATCGTGCCAGCATGTATCACAGTCTGACCCTGCCTGCCCAACCCCCTCCCAAAACAAACAAACAAAAAACCAACCAAAACAAAAAAAAACCCAACCAAAAACAGAGGGCCAGGGCAGAGGCCAGCCCCAGGGCTGCTGTGCCAGCTGCCGGGGAGCAGGCATGAGGGGCTGCCCCGCCCG